TTAGCAAATTCTTCTGCAGCTTTTTTTTTGTTTACCTCAAGTTGTGTGTTAATAACTGGATGTTTTCCTTTAAGATGCATATGAAAAGTAAAAGCTGAGTGCTGTGGTGTATTGAGTACATTATCACAATGCTTGCAAGCAGCTTTTCCTTCTTCAGGTATGTTTTTGTCAAAGTAGTGCCAAATTGGACTTACTTTAGGCATTTCGACACAAAATAAGTAATGCAAACATAATTCTTTAAAATATTTATTTTCCTAAACAATCATCACATTAAAAATAAGTAAATAATTATACTACGCCAAAAATAATTATTTATACTAATAATTATATTTTACCGTAAAAAATAATTATTTTTTAATTTCATTGTTAAAGGCTCTTTTTTTCTATTTTTACCCATGCGGGTACAAAACTCGTCAATAGCCAATTAACAATGATAAACTATGATTATAAGAAATGATACTAAACATTAACAAATTACGCATAAAATAAAGTGACGATAAAAAAATAAATAATAAAAGTATAAAAAAGGAATGGTAACAATGAAAAACAAATAAAAATAATATTTTACAAGTTTTCCTTAAACAGTAATAAACCACTTTTTAACCATAAATTTCAATGGTTTTTCAACGTTGTTTCAACGTTGATTGTGCCATCTGGGCTGTTACACGTTGCTAGATAAACTTGTTTTACTGTAAAATAAATGGTACTCTAGTTTAATTAATTAGTTTTTCTAGTTAGCAAGTTTTACGAGCGTCTAAAGAATTTTATAAATTTGTACGGGTACATTGTTCCCAATGGGAACAATGTACCCATACAAATTTTTGGAAGTTCCGATGCATTCACAATCATCAAAAATCTTTAAAAATGCATGCTACAAGTAGAACAAGCTCAGCAAACAATAATTCATAAGAATTTGAAGCTGAGAAATTTGCAACTTTTCTTTTCTTTGTTTTTAATGATGGTTCTTTAAATAATAATGTTGGTCTGCCGAGTTGTTTATTTTTGCTATCCTTCATTAATGTGGTATTAAAATCATTTTCAAGCCAAGCTGAGTTCTTCCTAATAAACTTTGTACCAGTTAGTTTATGTTGAATCCATATCTTACCATAATCAATATAAATAAACGAGATTGACAAATTTTTTGCCTTTAAACTCCAAATCTAGTTTTTTAATAAAAGTGCATACAAGTATACTGTCTTCTTTTTTATGTATTGACAGACTGTATTTTATGTATTGACAGTCGAATAAATTAGCGAACCTTGTGACACTCATTTAGCCTTAATAAAAACAGCATTTCAACATCTAAAATAAGTAACCACAACCAAACCAACCAATATATATATATATATATATATATATATATATATATATATATATATATATATATATATATATATATATATATATATATATATATATATATATATATATATATATATATATATATATATATATATATATATATATATATATATATATATATATATATATATATATATATATATATATATATATAGTTTAGTATTTGTAGAATCGTAGTATATGTTTTTCGTGTTTTTTAAAATTTTGTGTTAATAAAAATTTTTGAGTTTTTCAATTACAGATTTTTTTGTTAGTTAAAAGCGTTCAAACGTAGAAAAAAAAAAAAGTTGCGCCTAGTGGCAGCCAGATTTATGAAATTCATAAAGCAAACATATATAAGCTTTAAAATATCTGAGTATAAAAGCAAGATGTAGCAATAAAAACAATATTTTGTAAATTAAAGGCAAAAGTTATGCAATAAAATATAACATATTAGGCATATATAATTTTTTTTTTTTAAAAACATCTTCGTTTCTAATAAGGCTGCAAGTAACTACTAATTAGAGTTGGAAATTACTAGAAGTGAAAAGATGAATTTTGTAAAACAAGATAACGATTGACAGACAACTTATAAGATTGCAAATTATATAAATCAGGAAAGCAAGATGGAGGAAGCGAATTCCAAATAACTGATGTTCGAGGAAAAAAGCACTTAGGAACACTAACAGAAAAAGGATGAGACTTAATTGAATGACGATTAATACGAGAATGAATTTTAGTAGATGGCACAAGAGACGCTAGCTCTTTAGAGCAGTGCCCATTATAATATTTGTAGAAAAGAGAAAGAGAAGCAACATTACAACGATGTGATAATGGTTGACGTTTGTCTGCAAGAGCAGATCCAACTATGTTTACGATGTGTTTTTGCACCTTGTCTAAAAGAGAAAGGGCGTCCTTAGAAGGTCTGCCCCAGATACGGCAACAGTACTCATACAAGGACGGATTTGAGATTTATAGAAATAGAGAATAGAATCCAGAGTAAGAAAGTGTCAAGCTTGATAAAGAGATGCAACCTTAGCAGATGCTAATTTTGCAATGAATTAGATATATGGTTTCCAAGAAAGATCAGAAGAAAGAGTTAATCCTAGAAGATGAGTAGTTGACTCATCGAGCACATTACCGTTCATAAATATAGGAA